TCTCCTGTTGAGTTTGTAGGTGTTCAGAATGGTTTGATCCCTATCCAGCTGAATTCCTGAGAGGAGACGAAATCCAGGTCTCCTACTCCTCCGCCATCTTCCAGAATCTGTCTTTTTAACCAATAGGGTATATACTGCCTCTTGGGTGGTGTACTTTGTATAAACTATAGAAATCGGTATTAAGATACATCTAACAATTTCAGGATGGGAATATATGATAGTAATGAGTATATTTCTTTTGTTACTGTGACATCCAGGCTGGAACGTTAGAACAAAATGTTGGTGAAGCTACATGTGAAAACTCATTCCACACAAGTCATTCTATTGTACCTCGTAGTATTCTTTATCTTAAAAAGATCTTTACAAAGCTAGGTAGCCCCTAACTTCTAACAGAAATACCTTTTTTTTTAATACACTCACATACTAAATGAAATATCAGTTAACTTACGTTATATCATTCTGAATACTGTAATAAATTAATATGTTCCTGTAAACTTCTGTCTTATTACAGCTGTTTGAATTGAGTAGAATCTCCAAAGCCCAGGTTTTTAAATGCAATGCTTTTAGAGTTAGCTAACAAAGCCAATATGATTTAAGCACTCAAAAAGTATATAACTGAAATGCTGCTATAACTTAAAGTACTCATGTTACCACTTTTGATGTTTTTATTAAGACATAATTCAACATTAATTTATTTTAAATCTTTGCCACTACCCAACTGAAAAACAGATAAAATTAAAACAGTGCAGGAGAGTGGCACTCCTTTGAGAATGCTCTAGATGTAGGTGCTTGAATGTTGGTGCACCTACTCTGTTTTACAATTGTTTCTTTGGGGATTCCGTTTTTACGTACCATTTGGGAAATCTAAAATTTCTAAAAGCTTTTGTATTTGCGAGCCAGAATACCCTAGGGATGTTTTCTCTAGTTTTATATTTGAATTCCCCTTGAATGATTCCTGTTTGTGTGAACAGCAAACCCTATTCGTTGAAAAGCCTTAAGATTATTTATGCCATTACTAGATTACATAATAGTGTGTATTTTAAGGCTTACTACAGGCTAATGTTCAATCTGAGATTGATTACCCATAGCTCTATTTTTGCTAAAATGCAAGTCAATTTTTAAGCATGAAAAGTAAGAGTTACAACATTCAATTAAAGAAACCTTATTTCAAAAGCCCTTTATGATGTTAAAATTTGCAGAAAAGCTTGTGACTTTTTTCTCTAGCTGTGTGTTCTGTCGTCACAAAGAAAGAAAGTTTTAAAATGATTTTAAATCAGTCTAGAGGGATGATATGGTTTCATATAAATTTTCCAGCTAACAAACATCTGATTTTTATCCCATCATAACTTTGCAATTTCAGATCTCTTGTAGCAATGTCTTAGAAATTGTACACCGGTTTCTGTTGCTACTTCTGGCCATATCTTCTTTGCCCCAATTTAAATTGCAGAAGGTCATGGGAGATGAGCTAGACAATCTCTTCACTTGAAATTGGCACACATTGGCCCTGCTATCAGGGGCAGGTGTTAGTGTCTGTTGGTGGGTTTTGTCTCAGCAACACATGTACCTTAACGTACAACATGCTTATGGGTGGTGGCCTCTCAACCTCCCTCTTACTTGATGCATTTGGTCACTACATTATCATTAGAAAGATCTCTGGCTTCCATTGTTCTGGTTGCCTTCTTTGTTATAGAAATTTGCCTTTAAACACTGATATTTTCCTTGTATAGTTCCCCTGGTAGAGTCCTAGATACTCACTGTTGATTCTGTTTGTGATATTTTGGTGACTTTATAACACCAATGACAGACATCTGAGGTTGCAGGCAGTGTGCTAAAAATATTTGCATGAATCTTAATGAAAATGACCTAGTTCTTTTGATACTTATCCACAGCAGCGGATTACCATTGAGCCCGGGACATCTTATAGACTGCAAGGGCTGAAACCCAACAGTTTGTACTACTTCCGACTGGCCGCACGCTCTCCTCAAGGCCTGGGTGCTTCCACGGCTGAAATATCAGCCAGAACCCTGCAGTCAAGTAGGTGTCTCTCTTTGCTTACTTTCTGCCCTTTTTCATTAGGGGGTGTTGCAGCCTTCCCCACCCCCCGGCCAACAAACAGATTGGCTAATTAATAAGTTAGACAGTCAGTAGTTTCTATGCTAGTAAGCATCCAACTTTGGGATTACAACCATGACCTAGGTTGGTTTCCAACTTGGTCCAAATAGCAGATCCCATTCTCTCCCTTCCTAAACTGAAAGAAGTCGGAGGAGTTAGAAGACTTCCGTCAGGAAAATGAATGAAAGTTCCACCAGGCCCTGTGTAATGATTTATAAGGCTGTACAGCAATATTCTGGTTGAGAACACTGCCAAATAATCACAAGAGGGCTTAAGAAACTAAAGAGGTTAACAAAAAGCAAACTTGTAAGCTTTTAAAGCACACAGGTGGTTTTTCTTTAAAGTTCGTTATTTATTTATTTGTTTGTTTGTTTGTTTTAGCGGGGGGTGGGAGAGGGACAAATGGAGAGAAAGAGTCTTAGCAAGCTGTACAGCCACGCAGAGCTGGGTGTGTGGCTGGATCTCACGAACCTGAGATCATGACCTGAGCTAAAATCAAGAGTCGGACGCTTAGCCAACTGAGCCACCCAGGCGCCTCCTAAGCACACAGGTTTTAACTTTGCTAACAAACAGGTTTTTATTTCATGTATTTATTTATACTCAGAGAAAAGCTCAGCTCTTGTGACTACTTTGTTATTAACTCCGCAAGTAGTACACGTGGAAATTTGGAACATTCGTAGAAAATCTGTATTTGGGCAAATTCAGGAACAATGGAATAATCACAAGTACATTTGCAATCCTAAATTGTATTTTGTTTCCTCAGGTTCAATTTCTTTTTGGAACTGTTGCCCTAGAGCATAGTTGTGTTTATCACAATGGGGGTTCATTGTGTCCAGGGAAGATTGCTTTGTGTAAAGTATTATATGGAAGTTTATTTTTGATGGAAAGTTTGGTGACTTATAATAATACTATGGTTTCCTCTTTACTAGTAAGTTTCTATAATTCGTCTATTAAACAGCCATTGCCCTTGAATTGAACAGTTTTATGGAGTTATTTCCCTAAGTATTTTTTTGATACTTTATATTTTATATGTGATTTTTAATAGTTATATATGCAGTAGATATGTGTAATCTCAATACATCGAATTTTGTAAAGAGGATGCTCTGCTGACCTAAATATTAGACCTAGCAGCAAACATGAAATTTATATTTTCTAAAAAATGAATTTTCTTTCATATAAGTAAGTCTATATTCTGTAGAAATTTAAAATCTTTCAGGGTTTTTTGAAAATAAAAGTTATTTTCTTTCTCTTTCTCAAAACATGCCTGTTGGTACAAAAAGTATTAGGATCCTATTACTTAATCCATTAGTGATTATGGTCTATTTCCATAAAATTCCCTTTCTTTTAAACAATGAAGCATGTAAATTAATGCAGTTTTGTATTGGGCTTTGAATTCCAGGCAGACTAGTAAGTAATATTGTAGAAGATAACTCTTAAACTCAAACATTTAATTAAAAGAAATGTGACATGTTTCAATATTCTGTTTTGCATGGTTTACAAAATTGACTTTTTTGCATGCATGCATACATACCTACCTATTTACATGCATAGAGACAGAATGGACATTTTATAACCACATCAAAAGCTTATCTACTTTTTATTTTATTAAAGTAAAAGGTTCAAGATATGTTGAATATATTCTCACAGAATAGGAGGTCTGAAGGTAGCAATGTAGTAAAAACCAAATCAGCTTTTTAAAAAGAATTACAAATGAGTCCTTACTGTTACATGAACAACTCAATTTATTATGAATAATGATAATGCATATGAAATGGTTTTATAACTTGAAACATAAGAACATGTAGTCAGAATCCATAAAGATGATAGATATTTTCTTGATTTTGCAAATCTTACTCCAAATTTTCAAGATTGTCATATGAGAATTTCCTTTTCGTCGGTACAGGGAGCTTTCATTTTGATTGACAGTCATGAAGAACCCAAGACATGTAAATTAAAAAAGACTGATAATCCTGTAAACAATTGGATATACCTGACACTACATGATATTAAGACCCACAAGATCTAAGGAAATACCCAAGCTACATATTCACAACACGAAATTAGAAATGAGTTACTCAATCTACCACATAAATTGCCTTAAAATAAATAAATAAATATATATATATATATATATGTATATCTTATCCCTCTTATTTGTCCCTTAGGAATTACAAATTATTAACTTTAAAAATAATTTATGACAATGGTGCATTGCTCTTATTGCCTTTTTAATTTTCTCAAATAATGATACGTTTGGGTAATTTGATGGAAAATAATTGCTCAGAAAGTGACCATTTTATTTTAGAATGGACAATAAGAAAGTTTCTCTCTTAACTCTTATGTAAATTCTACTTTATATGAATAATTACATACAAAATGAAAGAAATTTTGCACATAAGTCATATCTTTTCCAGGTGGTTCTCAGGATTCTTTTTTAAACAGTTTTTTCATGGCTGTGTTACTGACAATTTGTAAGGGACAGATGATTATTATTGATTTTACCAAAATTTGTTGGTGGAATCTAATTCTTTACTAGCAATGGTGTCTCAAGAAGAGTTATAATAATTTTTTTAAAAAGCTGAAAGCTGACGTAGGGTAAGTACAAGTTACAGTCAGAATCAACAAGCCTGACATTACCCTCGGGTAGGTAAATCTTGGACTGCATTTCCATCCTTTATTGATTCTGCATGCTCACTGTATACAGGCTACAATCCATGCTAGATTAACATCTTTCCTTAAAACTGGTCAGGCTGACTCAGGTTTTCGCATAGTCAGAGGGAACGCTCTTATATTGGGGCTTTTATTTCTTTTCCTTTTTTTTTTTTTTAACTGGAATTGGTGGAAGGGCATCTAACAGTTATTGCAACTCTTTATACATGAAAACCCTTTCACAAGTGAATGCTGTGTATGAACCACCCTCATTCCAGAATGCAGCCGTGAAAACAGCATCTATGAAGCATCATCAGACTCTCGTGTCATAAATCTTGCAATATTTACAGGTGTTTTTAAAGTTGGGTAGTCTATACAGTAGGGCTGGGGAATACTGAGGGATTGGTTTAGAAGAACAATTTAAATTGCAGGTAGGTAATTTTATTTGAGGCTCTATTATCTCAAGGTTTCATGTTCACATATTCCCCCTTCCCATTATTTAACAATTATTTTTGGTCATTTATTCATTTTTTGGTTTATTCATGTTACTAAGCCAAGGTAACTAAATTTAAATTTTTATTTTAAGTTTCAAAGCCTTGTTTTCATTTTGTTGCCCTTATTGTTCGTTTATTTATTTTTGCCTTTTCTTTTGTTTTATCATTTTTTTTTTTCCAACCACTCCTGTCCTTTCACTCAAACCCTCCTTTAACTCACTACCAAAATAAGAGCCGTCAGCTCCTCCTCAAGACATTAGTTGCACCAGCCCAAGTTCCACTAGTATTTTGGTAAGTTGGCAACCTCCGCCAGTGGAAAAACAGAATGGCATTATTACTGAATACTCCATCAAGTACACCTCAGTGGATGGGGAAGATGATAAACCTCATGAAATTTTGGGCATTCCTTCGGACACTACTAAATACCTTTTGGAACAGCTGGAAAAATGGACTGAGTACCGCATCACTGTGACAGCCCACACAGACGTCGGCCCTGGCCCTGAGAGCTTCTCCGTGTTGATTCGAACTGATGAAGATGGTATGTTGCCTCTGCTACGTCAGCTTGCACCCTTCTGACACAATCTTGGTCTGCTGTCTTTTGATAGGCTAACAGTAATCAGCTTTTCTCTGCTCATCTTTTTTTACCCAGCATCGCTGTAACTTCAGTAATTTTTGCCAAAGACCTATCTTTGCTGCAGCCTGGGCATTTTTTTTTTTCAATCTCAACACAATAATTTGTTTCCCTTTAAAGGAACAGTTTGCTCCTATGACCTTGTAATCCAGGCCGTTTTCTTTACTTCCGTCTAAAGTCTTCTGCGTTTTTCTTGGCCTTTTTTAGTCACTTCTTTTACATTTTGAAGTTAACTTTTCAAATCTGCCTTCTTATCTTCTTGTTGCCTTTTTGTCTTGCATATTTCAGAGACACTGATGCTCGACATTCAATTTTTGGCATCTGTTGTTTGGAAAACCTTTGATATGAGAAAAAAAGAAGAAAACCGATATAATCAAGGATCTTTTTATTCTGCTAAAAAGAAATCTTTAAAAAAACACACAACAATCAACAACCAGTTTTTGTTATTATTTCAATGCTACTCCTCTTTGTGCTTTAATGCTTTGAGCCTCAAAGCATCTTCCTTGGCTTTTGTACATTTTTTACATGTTTTTCTATTTCTCTGATACTCTTTTTTTCTTCCATTTTTTTTTTTTTTTGGCATCGGTCATGTTTTTTGATCTTTTCTTAAAAGGTAGAGCAGATTGGTTGAGCATTTTCATTGCTTGAAAATGTTTGTATTCCACAAAGGAAACATAGTGGGTCTGCCCATTTTTTTTTTTTTTTTAACCTAAGTAAAGAAAATACTCAGACTGGGTGGGACAAGTGCCTATAATCTTCTTTATCCAATGATGTTGTTCCAGTTCCTAGTGGTCCTCCTCGAAAAGTCGAGGTAGAGGCTGTCAACTCAACATCTGTTAAAGTCTCATGGCGCTCACCTGTGCCCAATAAGCAGCATGGCCAGATAAGAGGATACCAGGTGCATTATGTGAGGATGGAAAATGGTGAGCCCAAAGGCCAGCCCATGCTGAAGGATGTCATGCTGGCTGATGCACAGGTAAGCCTCTGAAATTACATACCTATGTTTTTATTTATTTATTATATTTATCTTAGTCTATACCTTGAAATGGACCCCCATTTTTTTTTAATTTTTTTGACATTTAAAAAATCCTGTACAAAATTCTAGTTTTTAAAATACATGTGTATTAACCTTCTCAGTCAGAATTGACAGCATGTGAGGAAGTGAGTTGTAATGAAATGACACTCAAGCCTAATTAAAAACATGTAATTGTTTCCTTAAAATACAGGTACTCAACTCTCTACATTTATATCTGAGTTTGCCTTTCTGACTTCAAAAAAGTTGAATTGATTTTAATCAAAGTTACAAGAAGAATTCTAAGCAGCTGTGCTAGAACTATTTGAAATTAAATTGATCTAACTTCTAAATATATGACTTATTCTGTTGAAGAATAGACATTCTCACGTGAGGAGAGTTACCCAGATAGTATTTTATTTAGTACTTATTTATCAAACCATGTATTCAGAAGTAATTATTTCATTTCCCAGAAAAATGAAGGTAATGACAATGAAAAGTTAGAGTTTTCCAGGAAATAAATGGGATCCCCTATGTTAAGGCACGTTTAGAAAAGTATGAAGAGCAGTTGAGTGTGTGAGAAATTCTATTGATCCTCGGGTGGTAGTTTTCAACTATGCAGTCACTTGATTTTGTAATCTGTTGTTTAAAGCAGAGCATTACATGTTTCAATTTTTTTGTGTGTGTAAAGGATTTCAAAGATAATACCATAATAAATTCGCCTGTATTCTATGTAGTTACTTGAAAAGAAGAGGAAGATTTCAATTAATAGCTTCTACTGGGGATTACATATAACCTGTGGATAGCTTCACTATACTGGGTCCAGTAGTGATGGGATGTTATGAATAGGGGAGTACTATGCTTATCTAGCAAATCAGTAGCTGGGCATGGAAAAGGAGGGGGTTTGGAAAATCTGAAATTTATTTCAGTAAAAAGTTACTTCCTTGTGTCAAAGTGAGGAGGACTGTGAGCCAAGTGAGAACTATTATGTCAGGTTGCCAGATTTTGCATTCTTGTCTCTGTGCAAATAAAAGAGCAATCTCCGTCCCTGTGGCTGTAAGGAAAACATCGACCCTAATGTTTTAATATAATCAACTCACAAAAATGCTGTTTTTCCTTTGGTTTTGAAACATTTTAACTAAAGGAATCTGGATGAGTTGTTCACTTAATCAGCTCCAAATCCAGTTCCATGGTTTTGAAGTCTACTTCTGTAAACTTATGTCTTTAGATTCATAGCCCTTTAGACTCTGGAAAAGGAGCATTGCTTTTTCTAAATATTCTGTACTGTCTGTGAAACAATACTCACAATATGAAATTAATAAAACCATTAAAGCCTATGTTTTCTTTTGTAAGTCTGAAATTATGAAAAAGAAAATGATATGGCCATGATGCTTTGATGTACTCCATCAGGTCCTAGATAATTTTACATTATAAACCTGTAGTTCTGTCAGTGTTTTGTGGAGGATGGTGGTTAATGGAATTATATGATACAAAATGCCTTAAATGTCAACACAATTTTCCCCCTCTCTTCTACTTTGGCTTTTCTTTATTAATTTGCCGATTTTTCTTATGTGTATGTTTATTTTATCTTATTTTTTTATTATGTTATGTTAATCACCATACATTACATCATTAGTTTTTGATGTAGTGTTCCATGATTCATTGTTTGCGTATAACAC